TCCCAAATACCTCCACGGTGACTGGCTTTCAGTGCTGAGAATGCTCAGTCGCATTCGTGCTCTAGTAGCTCGGTCTCCAACTTATCTTGATCACATCTACGAAGACATTCCTTCACGCCGGCTTCGGTCCCTCTATAGAGCCTTATTGGACTGTCTCGTCTGGCGACAAATCTCGAGAACGCACACAGGAACGAAGTCGTGTCCAAGCTATGGGCCACCTGGACAGGAACGGCACGCATAGTCAAGCAAGTGAATACACAGCCGCATCGCTTCTCGGTACCGCCTCCTCGTTCGATTAACAGAGGTCCGAAGTAGTCCATTCCGGTGAATTCGAATGGTCTACAACTGCGGTTGGTTCATTCAGATGGAAGGGGGCAATCACTTGGAAGCAAGGCTGCGAAAATCATCTACGGCAGTGATAACAGGACGAAAGGATGCACCTGACGGCGGCTTGTCCCTGCACAACCCAGTATCTGTTGCGCACAGCTGCCAGCACTTGCTCAATGCCCACATGGCCGTTTATTTCGCGGTAATGTTTAATGATAGGTGTGGTGACGAAGTGCTTCCTTGGCAGTACAATAGGGTGCTCGGCCTCGAAAAGTAAGGCAGTGCATCGGAGGCGAAATCCGACGCGAAGTATAAGGTGATCGTAGAAAGGATTCAACCTGCGAAGTAAACTGGCGGACGAGAATAATGTGCGCTCATCTCCGTCGGGTGATCCGTTCAGTATGCGGACCTCTTCCAGGAACGCGGCCTGCTAAACTAATTTTGAAACGTAAATTAATGACCTCATTATCTCTCGTTGAGTCAAATGAAGAACAGGGTCGATCGTGGAGCTGGAATGTTTTCCGATTTGATTTCAAAACCGCTTCAGACACGTAATGGCTTCATGTTATCCCTAGTTAGATTTGTTTTATATGGACGCCGTTGCATCTCATGCCTCTTAACACCCACCAAGCGCAACTGGTTTCATTCTATTTCTTTCTCTTCGTCCCTCTTCCCAAGCTTCAATCCTCGACCGCAGTTGCCCAAACGCCCCTTAGAACTGTTATTCATTCAAACTGGCTGGTGCCCGGTCTACGCTCACGGTCCTCTAACAAAAAAGAAATTATCCGTCAGCCAACATCTGCATGATTCCCTGTGCCAATCTCCGTCTCACCCAGAACCGGCGTCTCAACACCGAACTGCGTATCCCTTCTCCGACCCTTGACGACCGTTACGGGGTTGTCCAGAAACCGAAGCATGTCAGTGCGATGATGGCATGGCACTGTCATACCCAGTGGGATGGCACTCTCGCAACTATTTTCTCCAGAATCTCGACCGCAACCCCTCGCCCACTCAAGTATGTAGCCACAACTTCGAGCAGTTCTCATCCGGCCGCGTCTCTGGGATAAGCTCTTTCCTACCCAATAATTTTTCGCTCAGATCTGGCTAGCTTGGCTTTTCTGCTGTACTTTCGACTTGCCTGTAGCACAAGTTCAAATCCGCATACGGAGTTCAGGTCGCCCTATGTATTAGCAACTTGCCCCCATCCAACCTATTCCCCTGCACCTGACATCCCTGCAACAGTGCAAGCAGTGAGTCTGTTTGCTTTCAGATTAAACCAAATTTTTGAGACAAAACTTGCCATGTGCTCCCAATTTGAATTAACCAATCTCCATCTCCACTTTTGCTCTTTGTGCCTCCGGCCATTTACCTTACCACCCAAGGTCATTCATAGCGAGCAGTGGTTTTCAGGTTTAGTTTATGCCACCTGACTGTCTTTGATCTAGTCGAACCTCATGGAAATTTACCCCAAAATGTTGGAAAATATCCTATTATTGCTATATCAACGGGTGTTCCCCACCGTTTGTGACATTGTCCTGTTTTGTGCAATCCGCACCCCCACAAATCCCTCGGTCGTGCTCCATTCTGACTGTAAAACTATGATCATGCCAGACGGTATGCCACCCACAATTTGGGAATAAACCTTATTATTATCATTTTTATTATTAGAGCTTCGTCCAACTGCCATGGTGACTAAACTTATCCAGACAGGCTACGGTCGACTGTAGTAAGCAACTGTGCAATTCTGAGTTTTCTTCATCATTTCTGGAGGAAGCTCAGCCTGTAGATTATGTTCTGCTGGCCACGACGACTCTTCCATCAAGACAGGTGGTCCTCGGATCCATGAGCTGCGCCCTAAATCTGTTGGAGACACACCTTGCGATGCGATATTTGCTGGGTTTTTTTACCCTCAACGTGCTTCCGCTGACGCACATCTGTGAGTTCATGTATGGCTGCCTTGCGGTTCGCGACAAAACTCTGGAAACGCGTAGTTGTTTTGCGGAGTGTTTGAAGGACGGTCATCGAGTCCATCCAGAACGTAGTCGATGTGATCGGCAGAGACAACTCTTCTTTCACTTGCGTGGCCAGTCTCGCAGACAGTAGGGCAGCTGTAAGCTCCAGACGAGGAATCGTGACGGCCTTCAGAGGGGCAACACGAGACTTGCCACACAAGGTAGTACTGTTGGCGGCCCTCAGTCCGTGACCGAAGATAAAGAACCGCTCCGTAGGCCCTTCCTGAGGCATCCGAGAAGCAATGGATTTCGCAAGATTGGGAAAGAGCATCCCTAGACGACATACATCTCGGAATTCTCAATTGGGTGAGAGCAACCATGGATCGTTCCCACCTTTACCACGCTTGCACGATTTCGGCGCTTGCTTCTTCATCCCAGTTGACCTGAAACCTAGAAAGCTGTTGGAACAATAGCCTCCCATGTAGTAGAGCCGGGCAGACAAATCCCATGGGGGTCAAACAGGGAGGCTATAAGTGACAGCGTTCTTCTCTTTGTGGGAGTTTCAAACTGGGTATCCACTTGAAACAGGAATTCATCAGTCGACCTGTCCCATTGAACCCCAAGTGCCCGATGCCACGAAGGTGGTTGCAGATCTGCATCAAGGTCTCGCTACGCAAGATCATCAACGGAGATTTTAGTCAAGAGGATAGGTTTATTTGTCGAACACTTCGTCAACCGGAACCCTCGGGCTGCTAGGGCTGCCTGCAGATCAAAGGCGACGGTCGCAAGACGTTCTGGAGAAGTGGCACTTGAGAGCAAATCATCAAGATAAAATGCCCGTTCCGCTGCTGATAAATCAGCGTGGTTGGACACTTTAGCGTAGCTCCTGATGGCATGCTTTAGGGCGAAACTGGCGCAGAAGGGAGACGAAGTTGCATGAAAGGGTGTTTAAAGTCATACGGTAAGTCTTCGAGGCCCGCTCAACATCGCCGCGCTCCCGCCATAAGAAACGCAACACTTCTCTGTCGGATTCGGGTACCTTCACTTGATGAAACATTGACTCAATATCTGGCGTGACCACGTGCCTATACTGGCGGAGACAAAGAACTCCGAGTAGACTATTCACGATGTCTGGACCAGTAAGCAGCTGCGAGTGCAGGGAGTTCCCTTGGACTTGACGTGCACAATCGAAGACAACTCTCACCTTATTTGGCTTGTGGAGATGAACCACTGGATGATGTGGCAAGTACCAAGTTCGTCCAGTGCTTCCGGTCCTCGGGCGATGATTGACCGGCTCGGTATATCCTTTGACCAGATAATCATTGATGGCCGACACATAGAGATCATGGAGATACTTTTCTTTAATAAGTCGCTTACCAAGGGAGTTGAGTCTTTGGCGAGCAACGAGACAATTTGATGGCAAGCCCGAACAACCCGCTTTCCAGGGTAGAGCAATTTCATAACGTCCATCCGTCAATCTCAGCGAAGAGTGCAACAGATAATCCCTGTTCTTCAGCCTGGGACGCAGAGCGCTTGTATGACGGTGGGTCTCTGAACTCTATATCAAACTCTAACTTTGAATCCAGACTGTCTTCCACATGGCAGCTGAGCTGGTTGATTCGAGCCAACCTGTCGTCTGTATCATTTACCGGCCCAAAAAGTACCCATCCGAGTGGTGTTTGATAAGCGTACGGCTCGTGTGGCCTGCCCGTTTGGCTTTCCAGCACCCAATGTGCCATCGATCCATCCACCCCAATCAAGAGGGATATTGGTTGGCTTCCGGCAGTCTCGAACGGGATTCCCTCCAGGTGATCCCACTTAGACCACTGCTCTCTAGTTGGTAAGGTTTGAGTAATCGACGGGAGCTGACGGACGGTCCATGCCTTGATAGATTGCAGCGTCTTGGTTGACGGCGATGTATATATATATATATATATATCAAAATTGATCAGAGTAGCAGACACTACATTCTGACCGTTGAGAGTGTAAATCCACGAGGACCACGAAAAGTTGCAGGCAGTACGCCGAGCGCCACAGTTGTCCGATTGCACGGTCCGCTTGCACAGTTGACGCTGAGGTTTGGACGGCATTCGTCCTGGCATGTTCGCCCCACTGACTTGGCTGAAGGCTGAGTGGGCGGATGGAGCAGTGGGTGGTGTAGACTTTCTCAGCCATTAAGTCCGCAACATCGCCTCGGGCGGCACTGTTTCGCGATATGTCCTGACTCGAGGCAACGCTCGGGAATTGCAGCTGAGCGGATGAACGTTGCACGGGAATCAGCGTCCAAGCGAATGAATTGCGAGCATTGATCGATGTAGTGCATTTTGCCACAGTGCACGCACGGACGGGACATCGTCGGGCTATGTTCTCCATTTCCAAGCTTATTAGCAGCAGAAGTCGTCACAAGTGTGGAGAGCCTTGGCAATGGTGCCGTCACAAAGCTGCGGGGGCATTCTGACCTGCTGGTGCTCAGCTGGAAAATATTCGGCAAATAAGACTCTCTAACCGATAACGAATGTGCTCTGTTCAGAACATAATCAGTCAGGACGACGAAACTAGGCTCTCGGTTCTTCCTGAGGATGCCCGAGGCCCGATCGAACCACCGTGACTGGATAGCAGTCGGAAGACGGCTAAAAATAGCGCCCGTGGTTGTTCTAGTGTTGAGCTTTGATGAGTAATTTAGTTGGGAGGGTACCAACCAACAAGCTTTCCTTGTGTCGGCTAGCTTGAGTAGCGAGCTGGCGTCGTTCGGCCTGATGGGTTGCCCGGTTGTGACAGACGCAATGTATTGTCCTGTAATAACCGAGGGGTTACCGAACCTGCGACCCAATATCTTCCAGGCTTCTGCGTAGCCGTGTTCCGGCTCGAGTATTGTACAGTGATCGATGGCCTCTCTTGCTTCACGTTCGCATGCATCGATAAGAAGTCCAGGCGATCTGCGGGATTCGTAACGTATTGGGCGACCCCCCCCACGAAACCCCTCAGAAACTTCCAGTAATTCAGAGGGTTGTCGTCGAACTCTGGTACCTTTCTCTGAGGCATACCCATACGGAGGTTAAGCGGTTCCGGAAGATGTGGATACGATGTGGGGGTCATCCGTGGATTCTTTGGAGGTGTCACATGATAGTTGGAAGTGACTGCCCCCTCCTGGTCAACTGGGTAAGATGGAGGACAAACAGAGTCTTAGATTCTTCTGTCTGTAGCGGTAGCAGAACACTGAAGGCTAAGCATTTCGCGATGGACTTTGGCCATCTCCATTTCCAGCCATGCGGCTCCGTGTTTCAGATCAATGGGGAGCTCCGCTTGGGCGACGGGGTGAAGTAATCGAGTAGAGGAAGGTCGGTCGAGTGCTCGTCAGACATGGTAAAATGTCGGCTGAGTTCGCGTTACTGATTAATTGCGCGAGTGTTGATTAACTGGGCGTTGTTGATTAACTGTGCGATGTTGATTAACTTTGCGACTGTTGGTTAGTTTTGTAAGATCCGGACGGTTTTGGATCCCACTGGACGATTGCGACTACTAAATTATACGCAGTTCATAGCCAGTAGTCAATAGGACCAGACAGACGTGGGGCAGCAGATGATATATTGAGGACTGATAGGAACTGGTTCTACAGAAAAACGGATTAGTAAGCCTCATGAATTAGGTAAGCGTACCGTCAACAATGACGCAATCAGCAAGAGCGGAAAATAGTCACTGACGCCGCAGGGATTTCTAAAGGTAACGGCAAGTAAGTGCCAAACGATGTACAAACATACATATAGGGGCAGTCTGACAGTGTGAGTTGGCCGTACGGGGAGATAACGGCGCGGAAATCAGTACGTTCGGGATGTGAGGGGCTGTCTTTCCGTTGGCAGCGCGACTCGGCAGCTCGTATCACGTGACGGGTCAGATTACGCGGTTTCGTCCGTTTAAAACAAATCTCGCCAAAGGCTACCTGGCAGATGCGGCACATGGCTAATACAAAATAATAGGCCACTTCGTGTGTCAGGCTGGTGTAGTTGGTGGCGCGTTCATCTGCCGCCCGGATACTTAGGGTTCGATACCCGGTCGGCTCGCTTTTCCGTCGAGGTGGACGCTCGAAATAGGTGCAATCGAAACGAACTTGCAAGCAATGACAGATGGACAGCAAAATATTGACACCAGTCACTTAGTGATAAGCAGATCCTAAGCAGGGACGAAACAGGGGAAACAGATGCGAGTCACATTACTCATGAGCAGTCAGTAAACAAGGAAAGTCACCGCTGGTCAACATTGATTCGCAGGGTGAATGAACGCCGTTTGTTGATCTCTATTGTGCCGTGGTCGGCATCTCTGTTGGTTTGTAGCGTATCTCCTATTCTTAGTAGTTTGCTGTTCTATTGATGTGGTAGGTGCTTCTGTTTGGCAGACTGTTTGGGCGTGTGCGTGTCCGTTTGTCGTCCCACCATCGATCTGACGTGTGACTTGAGTGGCTGATTGGTTGCGTTTCCGACTGGTTGGCTCGCGTGAGCACTGTGGGTTGACTGGATATGTGACACAGTTGTGTGCTTACCTGCCGCGAAAGCGGGCCAGTTTGGCCGCGTGTACTCAATACACCTATGTCCGTACCTACGTATTCTTCTGACTTACTGTGAAGTACAGTAATTGATTTCTTCTTCGTGTTCTCATTCGGCCTCGGGTTCTGTGGTTCTTGATTTCCTCTGTCCTCGGAGGCTGGTAGGCAGGATCAATCTCAATGCGCCTGTTGATTGCTCCGTAAGTGGAATACAACGCCTACATGAACTCGCGTTCTTTCTTTGTTCTTGCCCGGCACCTTATTCTGACGTTATTCCAATCGAAAAGACATCCTTCTCCACCCTCGTGTGCAGAGATGAGAGAGATTTGTTCATGGCTGCTGGTGGCGAGCTTGTGTTCGTTGATTCTGGTTGAGAGTTTCCTCCCTGCTTGTCCCAAGTAGTGTTTTTCACAATCGTTGCATTGAATTTTGTAGATTACATTTGTCTTTCCACCGCATCATGTGTTCCCTTTGGTGTTCACAGCACTCTTTGCAGCGCGTCAGTCGGTCTTTGGGCAAATATTATGGCATGCTGTCGTAGTACCCTGGCGGTGATCTCCGAAATGTTTTTGATATGTGGTAATGTGATTGTTTTGCTTGTGTTTCCGGTTGTCAGCTACTACATTATTGGAACAGCAAACTACTAAAAATAGGAGGCACACTACAAATCAACAGAGAAGCCGACCACGGCGCAATACAGATCAAGAACGTGCCAGCCGAAAGAGACAACAATAGGCGGCAAGAATTACAAACCACAACCCAACATAGATTAAGATAGGACCAACCAGAATCCAGGTTTCAGCGCAAAGCCACTCTTTGTAGACTATATAAACGCAGGCACGAAGAGGAGAACTACCCAGCCAACAGCGCACTAAAGGTGTCTCCTCGAATGGTGACGAAGCGTTTGCAAACCAATTGCCAAGCTCGGCGAACAGATCAACAGCCACTTGATCAATTACCAAATACCCTCCACTATTTGGGAATAAGCATTATAATTACCTTCCAGCTTTCCAATTCCGGTACCTGAGAATTCTTCTGGCCTCATTAACCATTCGGGGAGCCAGGTACTCTGGGACATTACCGAATGTCTGGGTGCAGCCAAAGCCTGAAAACCACAAAACTCGTCATTCTGTCGCGCCAAAAAACCGCGATTGAGTTGAGATAAGGGGGCGGGCCAAGATAAGTAAAAAAGACAAAAACCTGGTTGAGTAAAGCGAGTTAACTGTAAGACCTCAAGGGACCATCAAAAATTCTTTACCGTTGTAATAATAATACTGTTTATTCCCAACTAGTGGATGGCATACCGTCACGCATGATCACACAACTGAATTCGGAATGAAGCATGACTGGGAGATTAGCCGGTACGGAGAATCGCGCAAAACATTTACAGTCAAACACCGGGTAATATATGATGTAGACTTGGTCACGTCCAAATTGGTCTGGGAAAGGAAACGCAGTTATCAGAATTTTATCTTACTTTTGGGGGAACACATCAAGCTAAAACTAGATTAGATCGTTAAGGTTTGAAGGTGGCGGACTAGGACAGAACGAGGAAAAGCAAAAATGAGGCATGCCGTTTGGCACATCATAAAAACTTCTAACTGCATAAAATGAGGAAAAAGAACAAAAAATTTGGTGTGGTAGGAAAATTGACGCGGTCTGGCTGGTCAGTGTGAACTGAAGGCCTTTTCGGCCTTGGATTGTCGGGCCACACAAAGCGAAAGTGGGGGTGATGCATAAGAAGAATCCGCAGCACGATTAAATGGCAGCAGAAGTCTCATTGTAACGGTGTACACTGAAACTACAGAGACGAAATGGTGTAGCTGTTGGAGTGGCTTCGGGTGTCAACGCTCAATGAGCGGGGTAGTTATTGCTAGTGCAAAAGACGGAACGCGACCTGTGCAGAAAATCACTGACTTTTTGAGGAGAATGGAATGAAAGTCAACGAAATGTCTACATCCAAATGAAAGGTTCAGCAGATTAATGTGAAGGTAAGCCGGGGGTTGCTGGGTTTGGGTTAGGCGTGCGTTGGCAGCG